AAAGAGAGAAAGAGATAAAGATAACACGAAATCAGACTTTAAAGTAAAAGTGAGTGATTTTCTTATATAATATATATATTTATATATATATAAAATGTGAATGCGTTATTTTATATATAAAATTATGCGCATTATTATGTAATATAATTATTACGCATTATTATTATATAATATATCAAAGAGTATACTATTATTAATGTAATAAGTTTAACCCTTTCGTTACTAGCGCCGATTATAATCGGCATCCATGGGACAATAAGTATTTACAAGATTCTAATTTATCTGTATAGTATTTTTTGATTATATTTATTCGTATTAAATGAATTCTATTGAAAGTATATTTTCATGTAACGTGTAATATATTCTCTACGTCAAAATAATTTGAAGATTATCGACGTGCATGTAACTTTTCGATATTACTATTAAGACGGAATGGGACTACCGTAACGAAAGGATTAATAATTAATTGGGTAAAATAAATGTGTACAGGTAAATATAATATATATATATATACCTGTATCGCCGTGAGAGCGGCAACGATCGCTGGACTACCAAATCCGTGCGATATGAGGGAGAAGTGTGTTAGATGTCTTTGTATACTCGGATCGAGTATGTGTTGTGGTCGCGTATTACAGAGTGGTGACCTGTCCTGATTTAGAAGATCCATCAGCTCTTTGGTGATTTGTCTGGTAATAAATAAATTTGTGATACAATTAATCATTCGTTCGAAATTAATATTGTTTAATGGTATAAATATATTAATTTGATAGAAAATAATAATTTGACTTACTTTGTCGCATGAAGAAGTTCTTTTCTCCTATAGGAATCTTGCGGTTCGCAATGCTGTCGACTGAGGTATTCTGCGACCTGTTTCGCAGGGAACTCGGTTTCGCAAACGTAACCAAAATCTCTGGCAAGGTGAATTGCTTCTCCTAGAAAAAGCATGAATGCATATAATTTTTTATTATTATTATTATTATTATTTTTCTTTTTTATTATTTCGACAATATATCAGATTATTATAGAACAGAAGTATTCTTCCAATTTTTCTTACAATGGAGAATACTTTGATTCAAATTAATATATATATATAATATATATAGGTGTTAAGATAATTAAAAGAAATATTGATTAATTTTTTTGTTTTAAATTGTAATTATGTGCAAAAGAAAATTATAAACTGGTTTATTAAAATTTTTCTATCGTAACGTAGTTTGAAAAATGTTCCTATAGAGAAAACATAAGATTATTTTTGAGATATTTGATAATAATCAAATAATCAGTTATCGGAGAGAGAAGGGAAAATATATTTATATCGATGTTGTCGGCTTTTGTATCAATCGAAGTTGATTTTACAGATGCGTGTTCCAGATCGGTGAGAGCGAGTCAAAAAGGAGAACGAGCAAATAACCTGACCGACAAATATATACCAAGCAAGTTTCCGTTTGACAACTTCACTGTAATGAACGCGCATCATCATCACACAGCGATGAAAGTTATTTCCAACGGGTTCGATATAATCAGAAGGAATATGCGTCCATTAACGCACTAAGAACCTGAAAGAACAGTCATTTTTTTTGGTCGAACGTTATTATAACACGATTTTCGATATTATAGATTAATACGGATTAAACTAAAATATATTTAAATATATAAGGACGATGGTGTAATGACTTTAATTAAGAACTGGGCGTCATGGTTATTACGATTTACCTGATAATTAAAAGATAACTCAATGAAATCGTAAGCCTGTAATATTCGAACTTTTAATTCGATTAATTTCATTCATTGTTTTATCAATTAAAACGAATAATATTAACCATCGTGTTGTTTATTCATCGATCACGAAAAATTATAATTATCAACTATGTGTATTTCTTAAAAATATTATTTTCTTTTCGTTTTTTTTCATTGTTACATTTATCTCTCTCTCTCTCTCTCTCTCTCTCTCTCTCTCTCTCTCTCTCTCTCTCTCTCTCTCTCTTTCTCTCTCGACGAGAAAGATTTATCTTTTACCAGAAAGAATAAAAAAAAAGAAGAAAAGAAATAATAAAAAAACGTACAAACTTTCTCAGAAATTTTTCCAATTAAATTATTGACGGCAACACACACACACACACACACCGGGATAACGAGTAACGGAAAGAGAACACTTTGCGTTCTTCCTCCATTTCTCGCGGGAATGTTTTAGCGAAATTTTTTCATTCGATCCTTTTTCTTTTTTTTTTTTCAAATGATATCGAAAGAACGAGACGAAAATTGATTACACGTCGGCTAAGGTAGGGTTAAAGAACTTGACAATAAGGTAACGGCATAAGTACTTATATATATATATAATTTATATATAATATACATATATATATATATATGTATATATATATATGTATATATGTACATAATTCGAGAGGTATTACGTAATCGTTTCTCTTTGCCGGTTAACCGATTGGACAACGAATTTACGCATGAATCAGGTAGGTATATATATATATATTTGGATTGGTATATGTATGTACGTTGTATACCAGGTGAATCAGGTTGGAGAGATAGGTGTTACTTACACATCTGCCGTTTCGAGAGAATTCCCACACTTTCGCCTCACTCGGCAGCCCCTTCGACTTCTCGAAGACACGATCGAGACGAGAGAGGATGTGTGTATGGCTTTTACGGTTCTTTCTTTATATATATATGTATATAGATAATATATATCTCCCCTTACTCATTTCGAATACGATTTAACTATGAAAATGATTTTAATGCCAACGTCAAAGATACTCGTGAGTGTATAATAGAATAATAATATTTATGAAATTTTTAAAAGATCATAAGCATATTTTATTTTTGTTTTTTATTTCCTTCTTATTATTTTTTTTTTTTTTTAAATAAATTTTCAAAACGAATCTAAAGAAATGATTTGATTTAATATACAATTTTATCGAATTGATTTGTGTAAATATTGTTAAAATAGTGTGCATTGATTTGAGATCTTAATGAATTGTAATTTTTAATATTATATATAGGAACGTTTTTGAATAAAATTATTCGAACTTTTTTTAGGTTTGTGAGAATGTATTTTATTTAGTAAGTATAGCGAAAGAAAAACATAAGTTGATTTGTTCAACTTCGTTTTACGTAAACGTTCGTGTTTAACGTGTAACTAGTAGATATTGTAAAGATAAAATTGAAGGGTAAACTGGGTAAGATAGAATCGATGACTCGTGCCAAACGATGAACGTATAAATCAGGCTTTGTACGTGTTAATTCAGTCGCTTCTTGGTGCGAATCGAGGAATGGACGTTTATTGAAAGGTTTAAATTTACAATGCAGTCGTTCTCGAATGAACGAGAGAGAACGAGAGTGAACGAGAGAGAGAGAGAGAGATAGAATGAATGAAAGAATGAGAAGGAAGGAGAAGCAGTTCTATGCTTTCTTCAGTTTTATCTCATTCTAAGTGACGTTAATCTCTCACTGTTTTACGTTTCTACCTACGAAGAAAATAAATATCATAGCTGACAATAAAGTCGCGCGTTTACATTTAACATCGTAACGAAATATAATTCATTTCAAATGTAGATCAACGTAATTGATAAAAAATTATTTAATGTTATATTAACGATATATTTAATGTTACGTTTGATTAATGTCAAATTATTTTGCAATCGATGTATTAATGAATGACATAAAACATTTGTGTTATTTTTTTTAAACACGACGTTCGAACCTGTTTGAAATTATAAAACTTATCTCAACGAAAGAAAAAATGAATTTCATTTCTTTTTAAATTGCACACGAAGTTGCTTTATTATTTTTTGTCTTTTTTAATCAATAAAGGAATAACGTAATATAAAAAACATAATTACAAAAAATAATAATTCAATGAATTTCTTGTGTAATATAAATAGAATGTTGTTACTCTCAAATTTTACTAATTTTATCGTGAGCACGTGTCTTACGCGTCGAAAAAAAATTCGGCAGATTTTTTAAATACCCGACATGGTTTGAAAGAATTTTGAAAATCTTCCCGAGTTAGTTGTTGGGCGTATATATTGTCTTTTAGGAAAGTAAGAAGAAGAAGGTTACTTTGGCGTTTTGGTTTGCGAACGGTGGAAACGCGATGGAAGGAAAGTTGTGGGGCTCGGTGTGTTTTATGGTGGGCCCCACCGGCCATAAATTATAATCAACGTCTGTACCCACGGGGTCTGACGGGCCACATAACGTAGCATCGTTAGAGTTTCGCCGATAGAAGAACAACGTGCATTGCGATCTCTCTAAGTAAAGGATCGTAATACGAGCGTGCGAGAGAAACAAGACCATTAACCGCACGACTTGGTATTCACTCTTTCTTCCTCTTATGTTAGAAGAGTATTCTTGATTAATCGAGCGTTGCTTCTTTAACTCGGAAGCGGAAGAACGAGCAAAGAAAAACACAACACCCGAGTCTTTCTCAAAGCTCGATGATTACGTTATCTCATTTATGTATTTAACGTGTCAAATTATATTTCAAGTATATATTGTCGATTAATGAAAGAAAATTTTGTATGATCTCGAAAGGTATTGAATTATTAACAAATTGTTGATTATTATTTAGAATTATTTTGAACAAAGACATGTGATCTTATTATGAGATGTCATACTTGATAATATGTATTCATCTCGTTGTTGTATCAGAGAATTATAGTAGATTAATAAGAAATGTTTTTAACAAAAATTTAATAAACTTCTTTTTGATTATTCTTTATTTAAATGATTCCTTCTCTCTATAAGATATATATATTTTATTATCCATGTAACGAGATATTTCTTGATTATTTTTTGTTTCAATAGAAAATGTTGTATATAAACGTACATCATTGCTCAATGAAAAATCCCCTTTGCAACGTTGTTACTCGAAACATTAACGATTTATAATACGAGAGAAAGAGGAATTAGAAATAAGAAAAAGAAAAAAAAGAAAAAGGGAAACGACCCGAAGCTCATAAAATAGTTAACGTTACCTCTCTTACGTATTACAAATTCCGCGGCTTCCGATTTCTGATTGAATTCACAATAACCGATAGTATTTATTCGCGGTATTAAACTTTTCCGCACGTTTATTTTACCCGGAGTGAATTAGAGAGGATATATACGTACTTGTCGACAAAAGCCGACGGCGTCAGAAATGCCGGTGCGGTGACGGATTAGCAGCGGTATTATTTAAGGAGATGCAAATCTCTTATCCTACGCGACGGATATCCATAAATAACGGTTGGCAATAGCTACGACAGAAATTCATTGCACGAAAGAATTAAGAGCCATTCTTCTTTAACTCCTGGCATGCTCCAAGAAATGCGGGTCAGTGTGTGCGTGTACGTGTGTATCGGGATAAAAGAAACTTTTAGTTGAATAACGTTAACGTGTTTATGCGTAAGATTGTGGTGAATTAGAAAAGAGACCAGGATCTTGAATTATCTCTTTAAAGGGGAAAAAAATATCTTGAGCGTAATAAGAGAACAATTTTTCCATCGATCCTTCAACGTATTTAGAATTCTTAAAGAAGTTTTAAGATAAATAATATACGAGATAAATAATAATTGGTGATTAAAATATCGGATCACCAATTGTTATCATATTTATCTATATATTAACACGATATATAATTAATGTAATATATTAATGTGAAATATTTGAAAATTAATCTAACGTACCTTCTACCAAGGATGTTAAAAGTGTAACATTGGCAGCCTTCCTTCTACCGGCTGGCAGATTTAGACCAATCTTCTCTAATTTTTCCCTCAACAATCGTCCACCATTTTTAGACTTCGCTCTATAAAGAGAAAACAATACAAAAATATAAGAAATGCAATATTAATATAAAATATATATATATATATTATCCCCTAAAAGTATTTGTGTTCTTTTCGAAATGATCGATTAATCGAATAGACGACGAGTGTGTTTGAAGAAACGCAAGCGAACGTTTAAACCATCATCGACCTTCACAGCTACAAGAAGACTTTCGAAATTCTTGGTTGGTTCATTAATCATTTTTGCGGCGATGCTTACAAAAATAAAAAATAAATAAATCAACTAATGCACGGGTGGGGGGGAAAAGAGAGAAAGAGAGAGAAAGAGAGAGAGAGAGAGAGAGAGAGAGAGAGAGAGAGAGGAATAGGTAATATAAGAAGAAGGAAGATGATGTTTGGAAAGTGGAAGGACAAAGAGAGAGAGAGAGAGGGAGAGAGATGAAAGAAGACATGAACAAAAATTAGCATAATCCGCGGGCTTCGTAAACGTGTAATCGATGATTGAGCAATTCGAGCAACAAGTTATGAGTAAAAAAAACGGCAAATGTAGGAAGACGAAAGATACTCATCTCGCTAGCTAGGAGTATAGAAAAGTCCTCTTAGAGAAGTTTCTTTAATAGAAGAGAACTAGAAAGGCGAGTATTACGATCGTTGTAAATAACGGTAGTCTCGAACGGATCGAGTAGGGGGTGGGAAGGAGGTAGGAAGGGAGGGCGGTGCCTGCCGGAAGGGCAACGTAAATGCATACTAAAAATACTTGCCTAAGTGGAGAATCAAAGAATATATCTTTTGATTCTGTTTGTGTCTCTTTTACACTCAATTTGTTAGATTTAGTTGGTTTTTTTATCGAATTACCAACGAAATACACGAACGTTTAAATTCCGTTATAGTTTCACGTTGTTCTCTTAAACTTTTTCGTTTAAATACAAATTTCAATACTTTTACGTAACTATTAATATTTACCCTCTTATTTTTTTTACTTTTCTTTATCTATGTAATCTCGAGGGAAGAAAAGAAAATCTAGAAAATGTTCGAAAATCAATCGGATTTCGATTGGTTGATATAACTCGCGTTATTTATCAGAGAATTAATTACAATCAACTAAGTTAAACGAATTTAAACGAAGTTAATTTTCTTCAACGTGACGTGTTACAATGAGAATTCGATAGCTAGTAGCAACCGAGTTATTTCTTAACACACCTTCTTCATCGATCATTCTCCTGGTTGGTTGTCGTAACGGTAACGCGTATCGTTCAACTTTGTTCGGTTCGGTACCGCCGTCTCGTTTGGTCTTTCCTTCGGTGATTTTTTTTTTCCTCCTCCTCCCCGCCCCTCCCCAACCTCCATCCATCTTGCTTCGACAATTAATACATTTTACCGCTACAACTTTTTAACATAGCTGTAATTTTTCTATTGACAATCATTCTCGTATTTCTCTTCGTGTTTTCACCAGTACCCCGATCTCTGTTTTCCGAATGATTTTTTTTTCTATTTTATTTTTTTCTATTTTTCCTTTTTTTTTTTTTTAAACACGACGTTCGAACCTGTTTGAAATTATAGAACTTATCAACGAAAAATAAAAGAAAAGAAAAGAAAAGAGAAAAATGAATTTGATTTCTTTTTAAAATTGCACACGAATTTTGTTTTGTTTAAGATTAAAAGATATCTTATCCGATCTATTTAATATATACAAGAGAGGTGTTTTCCTTTCAGACCATTCCTGTGAAAAGGAGGTTCTTCTAATCGATCTTTAATCTTGTCGTAGATCGATGATCGTTCTTCTCGTAAACGTTGATTCGAGAAGTATTGTGATTACCTATAAAGTCAGTGTTGGTTGTGTGGTGGAATGTATGTTACATGCATCGCGTGTTTCCATTGACAGGTGCATCGATAACAGTCTTAATTGTTCTTTAGTATTAGTGTACTATTAATTCGCGTAAAGCTCTTCCACATCTCTAATATAAATGTATGTTTTGATTTTTAAGTTTCTTTTCTTTTTTTTTTTTTTTATTCATTGCTTCTTCTTCTTCTTTTTTAATGTTTAGTTTATTTTTGATCTTTAATCGTATCAATTAATTTTTGTTTCTAAGTTTCGATTTATTATCTGTTGAATTATGACGATGACGTAACAGAAGTAATCGAATATTTTTTTTAACAATGAAGAATTTATAACACGCGATTTTTTTCGTAAAACGTTTCTTTCATTCTTTCTATTGTGTTTCGTAGTGGAACATAAATAATACACGTCACAAGATACGTTAATTTATCATTGAAATTACATCACTCGAATACAATATTTTATGATGACGAATTAATAATAACATACTTAATAACACGTCGCGTTACATCAACTTTTTCCATTTTTGTGTGTTTTATAATAGCGAACATATTAGAGCTTGATGTATTAACGAGCTCGTTGAACGAGGAATTATACGATGATAAAATACTAATAAATGTGTGATTTTTATTCGTTCTTTTGAATTTATTTCATTCTAATTTATTGCGATAAATTTTTATGGCAATTATCTACACACACGAACGAACTATATTTATGATTATTATTTTAGAGATTACTTTTTTTTTTTCTTTTTTTCATCTTTCTTTGCAAAATTTATAATTATCTATATATTATCATTAATAGAATATTCTTTATAATCAACATTAATAATTGTTTCATACTAATTGTAAGAGACATGCGCTTTATTGTCTGACACGTAATAATTATATATTATTTTTATTTCAAAACACAGCTCATCAAATATATATGAACATGTGTATGAACATACATACATATATACGTATTATTTATTGACGGGATGGTTTCTTGCGTACGTGACGAGGATTAAGATTCGTTGATTACGAAGACTCATCTCGAAGAAGGATTCTCATCCTTTTCGAGAGTATTCGAGATATTATTCTGAACCCTTCGCTATTTAGTTTCTCTCCCTTTTTGGGAGGAATTTCTGGGAACACTGATTCCTTGAACTATCGTGATTACTCAAGATATAATCTCGGTATGATATAGTTGCATCGTTAAATTAAATAGTAACGTTACATATAAATGTTAAACGAAAAGATTTGATTTCGTTCGTATATTAAAATTTCGTGAAAAAAATTCATTTGAGAATCGTTTTAATTGTGTGCGGTATGTGTGTTTTTTTCTTTTTTTTTTTTTTAAACAAATTATTCACAAAAACCCATAAGAATCTTAATATTGTATAATATCATGTTAATGTATTGTTCGCTTCGGAACAAGTATTTCCAGAAAGTCGAGATTTCTAACTACCCGATTATTCTCTAGGCATCCTTGAATACCTGTATCGTTAATCGCAAATGGCTCTCGGCTGACATTAGCAAACCGAAGGACTTTCTACAATCATGACCCAACGAGAGAGGCAAGTAAACGTCTTTCTTGAGAATACTGAAGAAGACGATCGTGTCATCAATATAGGTATCTTTTAGAAAATCGTTAAAAATCTGAGTAAACGCGTTGAAATATATCCTCGTTCAATCAAGTTATCATATTTAATTACAATTTATTCGTTCGTAATTTACAATTTGTCAAACAAAAAAATAAGAAGATGATCAAAGAAATTAAATAAATAAATAAATAAAAAAACAAAACAAACATTTTGTAATATAAAACGATAATATATTCCTAAAGATTGATTAATTAGATCAAAATAAAAAAACCGATGTTACTCAAGTTAAAAAATTAATTCTGAACACGAGTAAAAGATAAAACAAGAGAGAGAGAGAGAGAGAGAGAGAATATCTATGATATCGAGTCAGATCAATGCGTGTAATTATCAGTCCGATTACTATTCGAATGGATAAATTATATCATATGATGCTGTATCGTGACAAGGGAGACAGCAAGATGAGCAGGATTGCACTTGGTATCCTTACGATTTGCCTGAGGCTTCTGCTTGCATGGAATTGACACTCGAAGCTATGAAATTATTAATATCTCATTTGCATGAGGAACATAGATTGGGTTGGTTTATTGGTACTTTCTTTGCTTCCTTCTTTCTTTTTCTATCTTTACTTTCTGTCGATTGTGAGACTTCTTGAAGGTGGAGGTCTTGAACATCGTTCTTACACTTGCCCGAGGTTCTTCCTCTTCTTCTTCTTCTTCTTACCGAGGCGTTAAAGCTCTCCCTCTTCTTTTATTATCCAGAGTAATACGTTAAATTTCTTCTTCATTTTGCGTCGATTTCCCCTCGAAGGTATAAACGAAAGGATAGAAGAATATATTCAAGGGAAAAGTCTCGGTCAATTACTGTCTATGGTGGTTTTACACGGAAAGCCATTATCTTCAAAGGGGAATCATGGAAATGGTCGTTTGGGGCGGCACCTCCGGTCAATATTTTGCCGGTCAAAAGATTACGGAAGTTTCACAAGATAAAGTATCGTAAAATGAATGGAGTGTTTACGAGAGAGAGAGAGAGAAAGAGAGAGAGAGAGAGTTTGTGTATGCGTAAGCGTAAGCGTATGCGTGTGTGTATGCGAATTTACTCTTTATACGTGTATACGTATACGTGAGGGCTCTTTTAGTATCTTTCTTAGTGCGTATATCTTTTCTCCTTGTACCTTGCATATTCTCTTAATACGCATAATATAATATGCGTTACTATACACTGACATATCCGGCCGACTCCTCTGTAAAACGATTTATCCGTGCCTTCGTTGATAAAACATTGCGCAACTTATATATGTGTGTGGTGCCCTGGTACTCGAGTAAAATGGTGAATCAGATAAAGCAAAAGGAGAGTTCGTACGTTCGTTCGGGCGCAACAGAGAAACTCATAAATCAGGCTACCCTGTCCTGTTTGTGTTGTTTCGAATGCAAGACGCGTTCGGCCAATGTAGATTCACCGTTTATTAATTAACTTCGTAGATAAAGACGCGTAACGGTGAATATATCCGATTTCTTTATTTATTTATTTTATTTTTTTCTTCCGTTGTTTCTTTTTATTTGCGATTTATCCTTTTTATCGCGAAAGAATAATACGCTTTCGCACACACTCGCGAGATAAAATAAAATACTTTTCTTCGAAAGAGAAATTACACATGTGTTTTTTCAATTTCCGATTAATCGGTGATCTCATTTTTCTTATCTCTTATATATACGAGAATTATTATAATTAAATTATCAGAATTAATTAACACGGTCGATATCTTTTTTTTTGTTGGCAACGATTGTTCTAAAGAGGTGATGCGATTTTTTATTCCTTTTTTTTCTTTTTTATTGTTCAAAAGGTCGATCATCTCACCAATGTGAAATATAAATGACGATACTAATTGGCCCGTTTTATATATACATATATACATACATACACACACACACACACACACACACACACACACACACACACACACATACCTATGTATGGTATATTAAATTGGCAAGGAACGACGATCGAATATTATTCAAAGGTATTTTAATACTTAATAATCGTTCCAGCGCGTAATGTTAAATTATCCTAACGGTGAACACGTAAGTTCTTCTTCTTCTTCTTCTTCTTCTTCTTCTTCTTCTTCTTCTCTTGCGAGAGATTACGGTGAATAGGCTCGTACGGTTAAGACACATGAATGAACCGCTTTCTCTCTCTTTCTTCTCTCTTTTTCACTCACCGAGATGATGATGAGTCGTTGGAGGGGGATGGGGTGGGGAAAAGGGGGAGGAGGGAGGAAGAGGGGATCGGAAAGGAAGAAACGAGAGAAAGAGAAAGAGAGAAAGAAATCAGAGAGGAAATAATAATTATACTCTTAAAAAGGTACGAACCAACCACTTGTTCGATCTTTGATGTTTTTGACAGAGTTGATAGAAATTATTACCTCCCATTTATATTTGACTTTTTTAAGATATGATTTTTTTTTTTTCTTTTTTATATATTTCTTTTTTTTCTTCTTCTTCTTCTTATTCTTTTGAAACGAAATTATCTACTTTCGAAGAAAGTTATTATTAATGGTTAAAAATATAACGAGAGTTCGGTGTTCGTTGCAACGAATGAATGAATGAATGAAATGACTTTTTAATAAAGTGCTTTTTCGTGTATCGCATCTGTTTATAATGACACATAATGCACGATAACATTCGGATTGGCTGAATGTTACAAAATTTGTAAAATAATATTGTATATGTGTGCACGTAATTATGCAAGTGGTATAAAAGTCAAAATTAAACAAAAAAAAAGAAAAGAGTTTAACAATTATTTCACGCCACATTATTTAAAACTAAATGAATTCAATGTTATTTTCATACGATATATTGTTTAAAAATAAATTGTTAGATAGCATTTGTTACTCCAATATTATAATAACGAATTCGTGTAATGCGTTCAAATGTAATTCTTTTTAAAATATCTCGAAACAATAGATACTTTCATAATTATGGACACATATAACATAATTTAGATATCACACCTTATTAGAGCAAACACACACACATACGCACGTATATCAATTAATTTCTTTAATCTATTTATACAAAAAAAAGTAATTTTAACGTAATTAATGTAACAACTGTGGTAACGCGTATAAAATTGAATATTGGTTTGCCAAATATTATTGCAAGTTTTTTCTTTAGATTGACGATGAAGAAGAAGAAAAAAAAAAAAAGAAAATATTGAAAGAATCGAAGTAAGAAGAAATATTATTTTGTTACCTTCGTAAAACACCACCTAGAAGACTGGCATTTAAACATTCCGGTGGCGAGAGCCGTCTTTGTACCTCGGCTACCGTAACTTTGTACTTGCTGGTGCTGCTGAGTAACGATAATCGTCCTGGGACTGAACAGAACACGTCCGAAGGTTGTGCGTTTCCTGTCAGCATGGCCTTTTCGCTTCTCTCCGAAGGTTTCATGTCTGTAATCAAACACAAAGCACATGTCTTAAAACTATCAATCCTTTATCTTGATTTTTCCAAATTTTTCTTTGTTTCTTGAATATGTTGTTTTTTCTTCTTTTTTTTTCTTTTCAAGCAAGCAACATTATACAAAATGTCGTATAATATCTTTTACTTATTATCATATGATATAATCGGTACGAACCAAGAACAACCACCACCAATCTTGCGACTCAGGGCTCGAATATGATTTATAGACCAGTTCTGTAAAAAAACGCCTTACCAGGTTTTAAACTCACTCGATCGAGATTAATCGTATCGATCCGATTTGTCGATAAATTAAATTACAGACCTCCCTGTTAAACTGGCCATCATAACGCAGTCGATAAATTTACGTAATATGCTAGTCTAAATGCTCCTCTTACTTATTCTTCGTGTGTACATATATGTAAATAAAAAGATAAATAAGAAAAGAAAAAAAAAATAGAAGAAACTAAAGACAGATAGTAAGAAAGAAAGAAAGAAAATAAGTAAGATGATGATCAATTAATATAACGTACCTATTCCACGAAGAATGTAATAATAATTTATGTTAATACATGTTATAATAGTTAGCCAAGTAATTCTCTTTCAAACGGGTTGAAGGAAAAGGTCGTTGCGAAGATTAGTAATTTCATGGTGTAGGAAACCTAACGAAATATCGAAAGCCACACAAGCCTTCTTTCTCTCTTATTTATCCAAAATTATATTCTCTTTCTCTCTCTCTCTCTCTCTCTCTCTCTCTCTCTCTCTCTCTCTCTCTCTCTCTATCTATCTATCTCTCTCTTGACCTTTTCAACGTTATGTGTATAATATAATAGCAATATCTTGATCGAAATATTTTAAATTCGCCAGTGAACCATCGTATTTTCCTTCCTATGCATCGGTAGCCTCGCATTATTGCATGGTTGTTCTCTGGAATGCTTAATATCGAATCTCTCGTAAGGGATGGGGGTGGGGGGAGGTGACTGGGGGGCTTCCGACAAAGTCCGTTATTGCAACACAGCCAATGGTCAACTTATATAAGAATCTTGGACTCTTCATTGTTAAATTCGTGGTGACCGCATGAAGATATTTGAACATTTAACGTTGTTAACTTTTCCATAAAAAAGAAAGAAAGAAAGAAATAAGAAAAGATATCCTGTTTATGTTTATAGTATTTTTTTTTATGGTTCTCTTGATTTTTCTTTATCTTTATCTTTTATAATCGTTAAAAAGAATATGGTTGATTTTTTTTAATGGACGAACGGTTGTAAAGATTTTTGCGAAATAAAAAACAAAAAAACGTTTCGTTTAAATTCGATAAGGAGAGATGTAAAAAAAAAGAATGATAAAGTATTTATATTCTTCTTCTTCTTCTTCTTCTTTAAGGGGCTAATTTATTTCATTTACGAGTCATTTATTTTCATTTCGTATACGTGAGATGTGAAACAATCGTTAGAATTATCGTTTTTTTTGTTTTGTTTAAATTTGGCACAGGAAATGTCAATTAAGTTCCGAAACGATTATTCCATTCAACGTCTCCTCGATTGCGAAATCGGATTGGTTATTCCATAACGGATGATTAGGCATTGAGATAAACGATTAGATTCTTTCATCTTGTCGAAAATCTTTGAAAGGAATTATGAAAAATGTGAGAACGTTTCGAGAAAGTTACCGAAAAGATATTTTTTTTTATCATTACGCGAGTAGGTATCCTTGGAATTTATGTCTTTAATCATTCTCGATTGGTTTTGAGGTGTACACAGACAAGCTATGAATAGAAATACAAATAGAAAATAAACTATGAATATAATCAATTTTTAATCATTATTTCTTAAACCCTTTATTATAGGGCCGATTTTTGTTTTTTTTTGTTTTTACAAATAAGTTATTACAAAATAATCAATATAATTTGTGAAATAAATAAATATTTGTGTTGAATATCTAAATCAACAATTTATTCTTATATTTCAAATTAAAATTTTGTTGTTGATTCTAGAGAGGAGATAAGAAGATTATTACTTCTTTGATAGTAATAAATATGATAAAGTGTTAGTAGAGAAATGATATGAATCTGTAAAATAAAGAATTAAAAAAAAGACAATGATAATACTTTTCTAATTACAGGTATTGTTGTATACTTAAAATTACATATATATATATATATATTGGTTTGTACTTAAAATATTACAAATCATTTTTCAAATTACAAGTATTGTTTTATATTTAAAAATTATTCTATATAATAAATAACATATATGTACGATGAGCATATATATATATATATATAGGTTTTATGTATTGCAACGTTAGAGAAGTTGTCTGTATTATCTATGAACCGGTAGAGAGTCAATAATATCAAAACGATCAAACGGGTCAAATGGGTAATAAATTTTCATGCAATCCAAATAGGTCGATGGTTGCGTGGCTCGCAGCAACGTTCATAAATTATAATGCTTAGTAGAGTAAGTAGAGAAGGGCAAAGTGAAGAACGTTAACGGAAAGGAAGTAGACAGGAGTAAGAAGAGCCCTATGATATTATTATAATATTTTTATCAATTAAAACTCACACCGAAAGGAATGAAGATATTACACTCGTGTTCGTTGATTTAATACTAAACCTATCGACACTTTGTGTATACTTATTTTTATCTTTAAACAAAAAAAAAACATATATCTTTATATACAATAGAATAAAATTTTAATCAATCTCGTATAACGAGATATTTTATTTATAATTTCTTTTAATATATATAATATATAATATATTTTCTTTTATTTAGAAAAATTAATAATTTACATTTTATGCGTTTTTTAGCACATATTTTTTTGTTTACTAATTATAGCAACACGATTATTTGATCTCACGTTGATAGAAGGTTTAGTGTTAAATCGTGAAAGTTATGTATTTTTTTTTATTTTTTTTTTTAAAAAGATCCTTATTTTTTTTTTTTTTTTCTAATTTTTTATCTCTTATCTCGTGTCACCGTAACGTCTTCTGGTAATACATTTTTTTGTAAGAGAATTTTGTTCAATTTTCTTTTCATTTTGATTACTTTAATTCTCGATAGAGAGTTTAAGACACGTATAAAGTTTTCTTTAAAAAACTAAACGGCAAATAATCGTTTCTTTTTATCATTAAACGTACCGACTTAAAGCATTTAAGCAAATATGTATAAGTAAAATCAAACAATCATGAAAACGATAGATCATGTTTTAAAAGTACTTAATAAGTACTTCTTCCACTCGAGTTTCAAAATTTGTATATCCAAAAAGACGAAGAGACGGGTCTGGTCAAAAATCAATATAATAAAAAAGAATAAGAAAAGAAGAAGAAAAGAAAGGGGGGGAAAAAAAAGACAAGACAAACCTCGAATGCCACTTACTTATAGAATTTTTTCGATAATCTTTGGAACGTTCATAAAAATCTTTTAGAGCGTACAAATATCTTCGTTGACAAAGCCCGTTATCTCGGTTTCCTTCCGCGTTCGAGAGGCTACATAATTACGAACGTGGTAGCCTTCTCCCCATGAATACACACATACACATACATATACACTCACGTATATGTATGGGCCTTATGAAATATTATTTAGAAATAATAATCGCTTTGGGCAATTTCTATCGTTCGTTATTCGGATATTTTTCTTTTTCCATCTTGTTTCCTCTTTTCTTTTTTTTTTTTTTATTCCTCTCGTTCGCTTATCTTCATCACTAACATAAGTATGCGCCAATATGGTTGGTATATGCATTTTATTTAAATAATTTATTTCAAATAGAAATAACTTTAGCGCGTTAATTCCTTCGCGTATTCCTTCAAGTATAGTTTGAATATATATATATTTATATACATTCTCGTTTATGTATTGCATTTATATATACATGGGGGTTATTTACCACGTGTAAAACGTGTAATTATCACGATTAGTTGTAACCTTTAGCAATGCGAATTGTGAAATCGTCTCACTCATCGATAATATTTTTCTTTTTTTTTATCGGTCAATCTAACTAACGGGTGAGCGAGTTAATTACTCGTTAACTTATACGTTAATTCAACGAGCATAATAATAATAATAATAATGATAACTAACTATATATAAGATCCGTGACATTTCTCGATAAACCATTCAAGAAGATATATTTCCATCGTATTTTTCCAAGCCCCCCCATTAATTTATTCGCGTTTAAATCATACAAAGAAGATTCGTTGTTGTCGTTGTTCTTAACTGGTTTCAATTTCAAGAAATTCTCATTGAAAAAATGATCAATCTATGGATAGAGATGATACTCGTGTTGCAACACGTATTTTCATTGACA